CAGGAGTGTTAAGAGTAATGGCCCTGCCAATGTGAGAGCCAACACAGGGGAAATAACGCTTCCCTCGCCTGGCCTGGAAATCTCAGAGCAGGGTAATGAATCCTTATGAGAGCAAGGCAGGGGTATATTGTTCCCTTATATGGGGAAGGGAGGTGGGCAACGGCAAATTGAAGAAACACATGAGCTGCTGTTGTTTTTGCAGGTCATTAAGTCTGTGTTAATCATCTCGGAGCATTTTCATAAGTTTGTGGGGGCAAATGAAGACCAATGAAGGGATGTGCTGATAGCGGGAGAAAGAAAAGTTGGAGAGGGAGGGAAAATACAAGGTATTGATCATTTTCAATGTGGCCTAAGCTAACTTCTGAATCTCCCAGATCAAGTCTCCATTATTGAGGTGGTGCGAGACTTTTCACTTCCATCTTGAAGTCTTGACTTCAGTCAAATTTGCTCATTCTGTGAGATGATCAAGGCAAGATTCTGTTTTCCCTGACATCTTTTGCTTAATCCACTAAAATGTGTATCTTACAAAAATACATGTGTAGATGTAGGACAAACATAATGTGGATATGTATAAAACAATTTTCAGTTCAGACTGATCAGATTCAGAGGGGTCAGTGCAGAAAATTACTCTGAGTTGTTTTATATACTTATTAGCAGCTGCACAAATCGAAGGCCTAATTTAATGGTGCCAACAATGAGGAGGCATTCAGAAATCACGAAGCCTTCCAACAACACTTTTTATATGTGAATTCACCCCCCCCCCCATGTACTTTGCACTCACTTTTAAATATTTTCCAGAGAACATGTCTAATTGTAGTCTGGCACAACGTCTCCAGTAAACCTTGCTCAGTGAACCTGTATTTCCTAAATGCAACTGACTATCTTTATTTCTTTGGCTCAATAAAACCCTGCCGTTTATGAGAAACCAACAAGATTCGAGTGACATCATTCACACTTTTCTTGTGTGTTTTTAACCCTGTACTTGCCCCAAAGCATCCCACAAGATCTTCATAACATGATGGAGTTCTTATTTGTGGTCTGTATCACTTTTGTTCTGCAATCCATTTGTTAAATGCTCAAGGATGATAGAGATTATGTATTCATTGTTGGATAGGTGTAATTTCACATTGTGGACTAATTAAGTAATGGTTGCGGGTATAGATGAAACCCTCCCCATCCTTTCTGGAGTCTTGCCAACGGTACCTTTCCACAGCTGGGTCTTGTTTGCTTGTCTTATCTCAATTCCCCTCAGTTTTTCTACTATGGAATCTTTCCTTCCCCTCACGCCAACAATACCACAGTCTGTTGGGGTTTTTTTTTTTTAGTGATGGGCGTCTGGGGGTGTGAGAATGAAATTGATTTTGCATCCAAACCCCATACACCAGTTTTCATTAAAAAAAGTATTATTTAAGTTGTCTTTCAAAGTGCAATTTTCTCTGGGGTCTCTGTAAACATGACATCTCCCAATTAACCCTTTCTCTACAGCTGAATAAACTTAACATGTGAAGCAGTATCTCTGAGACCAACGTCCTTGAACATTTTACGCTGCCATATTCTCCTATCTTACCTTTTTCCAGTTTATCGCATTACCATGTTACGGCTCCAGATGTTGACACCTCTTTTTTTATTCGGCTTAATTACTAATTGAATTTGCCCATAAAAGAGCAGATGCTTTCTCCTTCAGAACACAATGTGTCAGGGGCACAAAAATGACAGGAACATGTTGGGAATTGGACTAAAGCACTGAGTTTGAAAATTTCATTTTCCCATGAAAATGTGGTCAGCACATCATTTCAAAGTGGGAGTGGGAAATCTGACATTTTTATTTATTTATTTTATTCACCACACATGTTTCCAATCTGCAGAAACCCGGCATAGTTGGGTTTTTCCCCTTTTACAATGCCATTACAAAACAATGTTCATTGTTTGTGGCATTTGCTCTAATTTTACAGCTCTTGCTCCATTTTGTACCCATTGGTTAGTCCAGCGCTGGACTGGCTATGGGATACGGGACTCTTTTCGTGCTGTTTTATTTAAGGATGTTATTGTTGGCCCTTGCACAGGCCACAGTCAGCCCCTGGGTCTTTTTCCCAAGCGATAGAACCACCCATCCATCATCTGACCTCTCTCTGCATGACAGGTCACTTCTGCTTTTCCACCAGAATGCACTGTTTTTGTGTATGTGTGTGTGATGTAAGGCAATTTTGGGACACTAATTATAAGATGCTGAGACGGAGTTCATAATGCAGATATGAAACTCTGTTAAGACGGTGGGGTTAATATGGTGCTGTAAAACCTCATCTAAATACAGTTCGGTAGAGCATCTTGCCAAGCACTGCAAACGCTGTGCTAATTATATACTATTATCTATAATTACAAATAGGTAGGCTATTATTGCACCTATTCATCAACTATTATTGCACCACCACAGTTCAGGGTGTTTATAGTGATAACAAAGGGAAACATACTGACTGAAATATGATTAAGGCCTTCCATATTATGATAAGAAGGAAAAGAGAGGAAATTATTTATGTTGTGTGACAGTGCCCCCTACTGACAGTTCGGTTCATATCATGCCAATTTTTAGGATAATGATAAAATGTTATTTTCTATGCTACTTTCCTCCCATCATTTATCTTTGGCAAAAAATTTGACATTGTTTTATCAGTACAAAACTTTTCATTTTACAATATGAATGTTGATTTTGGGGCATAAAATCAAATATCACAGCACGGAAGACTAAAAAGATTCCACTTTATTTCATGGACCATTTTAGACAAGGAGGCCTTTGTACATTTACAGCCAAGATCTCCCTTGCAGATTTCACTTTGAAGTCCATGCAATTTACATTTCCACAGTTTGAGCTGTTTCATTTATTTTCATTTCATTAGTATGACTCTGCTTATATCTAGTACCTCAGTATTTCGCAGTAATATAATCTACATTTTAATACTAATATTTTTATTTGTTTACTTTTTTACAAATTGACAATTACTAATTGCCAAATATGCATTAAAGTAAATACAGAATTTCATATACGTCCTCCTTATAGCATTCACATTGACATCATTTTTTTAAATATAGAAGACTGCATGTATTCATGCATAAACACATACATATAATCAACAATGAATATCACAACAACTTAACTGTAAAATTAGCAAGCTATTACGGTTGATCAAAGCTCCATATAATGAAAACTTTTTGATGGATAAATCACTGCTCATGGTAAGTATACGTTCTTCCATAGTAACTAATTTAGAATTTTGCTGTTTAATAAAAACCTTACAAGGTAAGATGCATGTTAGTGTCCAAATGTAAATGTTTTCTGACGGATTCAGTTCTGAATGCGTTTCCTTCATATGCTCGATCTTCACAGTCAGGCTGTCTATGGTTTTCTTCATTGAACTTGCAGCAGTAATTGAAGCAGATCCCATGGGTGTATGTGCATTTGGGGACGTTAAGTGCTGTTTCTTGTCATACTCTGTTTTTGTGAAATAGGTTCTTTTTGTCAGTTTCCTGTGATGTTCTTCATTGTTTTGTTTTTTTTCCATTTATTTATTTATTTTGTTAAAGTGTGCAAGAAGCTCCTAATGCTTGTTTTCCATGAGAGGCTCTTCTCTATCCCAGGGGGCTGTCATTTGTGGAAGGGCCTCCATTTTCACCCGTCACTAAGATGGCCCATCTACCAGAACACACAAAGTCTTGGCATCTCAGCTCCTGAGAAATGGACTACCTATTGGAACTGACACCCAGAAGCTTACTCCTTTTTTTTACCATGTTAATGTCTTATACTTGTCTTATGCAGATGTGACTGATAAAACGTGGCAGTGGCATACAGTACCTTAAACTTGTCTGAAAAGCTTTACATATATTCTATATAGACCATAATTAATATACGTTCACTTGAATATTTAAGGGTTATTTTTTATTATTATTTAGCCTATTATATAAAGGATTTATATTAGGAATAGTCCATTTCTGTACAGGTACATACCATAAAGTCTTGGCTTCAAAAAAAAAAAAAACTTTCAACATTCGACTGATATCATCTATCATCAGAAAAAATATATACAGCTAATTGAACACACGTAATAGGCCTTTAAGCAAAATTTAGTGAAAATGAAGTAAAATAATGAAACAAAACTGTTAAAAAAAGTAACCCAACCCAACAAAAAATGTTGATTAATATTAATTTATACATTAATTTATAATCAATTAATTAATTACATGTAAAACACAGTAACAACTTGTTCTTTTAATTCTATCTCTTTAAATACACATTAAAATTGTAATTGTGCTTGGTAAGTCAATTCATATTTGAGAACTGAAATTGAATTAATTAAAACTTCAATTTATATAATTGTATAATAATAATTTATATAATTAAATATAGATTTTTTTTTATTATTCATTCATTCTCACTATCATTTTAAACAAACCCATGCGTTAATTTTATTCTCATTCACTACCCACTTCTCTGAGGTTATGTTAATGTTGCTTGTGTCATATCCTCATCAAGGATGTAGTGTTCTGCTAAAGCAGCCTTAAATATGTTGTAAACTTTTACATTTTGCATAGTAAATATTACATTCATAAACAAAAATTTCCGGATTGTATACCTAAATGTGAAGTATTCTTAAAAGAAATGGAGTTGTTAAAAAAGTCTTTAGTGTTAATTAATAACAAAAAGAATGAAATGTTGTTAAATTTTATGGAGAAATTCTTTGAAAAATAATGTCCCCGCTATGCTTTTCAACTCATTTGTATACTAAATGTGTCTCTAGGGAAAACGAAGAAATATCTGTTTTATTTATTTGTTTATTTTTTAAAATTATTTATTTATTTTTTTGTTCCTGTAAGTTGTATGATTGTAATAATGTGAATAGGTTGTGTTGTATCTATATGTTAAAATCTTTTGTTAATCTGTTTGAAGCAATACAAAAAAAAAAAAAAAAACATTCTGCTAAAGCAGCCTACGAAATTTCCGTAAGTGACAGCGCATTTCCGCGGTAACCTGTCTGGCCTGCGCTCCTCCGCCGCTGTGACGGTCTGAAGCAGCGTAACTTTAGAGTTCATGCGTTGGCTAGCTGTCACGACCAGCGGATTTCAAGGGCTGGAACACCTGTTTTCTCGACCGAAAGCCCCAACAACACAGCCAAGATGTTGAATATGTGGAAAGTGAGGGAGCTGGTTGATAAAGCGTGAGTATTGCGAATGTTTTCGACAGTATTTCGGGGTCCTGTCTCATACCTGTTGAAATGAGACACGTACGCACTCGTTAACGTCACATCGCACTCTCGAGACTGGAGCTAGCACAGTGGCTAACTACAGCTTTGTTGTGCCCTTAAAAATAACATATTTCGTCGGTGTATGTAGCAACTTTCGTTTTCGAGTCGGTTACCATACTTAATCAGACGTGTTCACTTGTTTATTACGACTTAATTTTGTTTACGAGACAAACGGTACCCTCAAACTTCCTCGCTGTTAACTCTGCTGCTAATTTTATGACAGTTCCTAAACTTGTGTTGATTGTGAAAACACGGCGCTTGTGTTTAAAAGTGCTTTACAGACCAAACTAACGTGTTGATTGTTAATCTTTCTGAGTGAGAAAAATGTTTCAATATAAAGTAAGAGCGCGTGTATTATTTGGCATTAGAGTGGCAACAACTTTTTCATGTTTGACAGCTATTGTCAGGCACTATTCAAGCTCATCAGCAAGCCTGAAATGAAAAATGACCCATTGTACATATTTGTATTGTGTCAATTGCTGATTAATTGACAATCTGTTTACAATCTTGGTTGTAATCTCGTTACAAAGGCTGTAAGTGCAAAGATGGTTGCAGAGCTTCTGTAATGGAGCCTTTGAGTTTCATGGAAACTGTTGCTGTTAGACTGAAACTTGTGTTTTAACCCTTTAAAGGACAGGAACATAATGCCCCAGAAAAATATTATTTGTTATATTCCAACACAAATCAAAATACTGCAGTGTCATATTTTTATTAAAATGATTGCTTTTATCCAAAATGTTCTTGTCCCATAATAAAAACATTTAAATGATAAACATTTATACCTGTTGAAATGAGACACGTACGCACTCGTTAACGTCACATCGCACTCTCGAGACTGGAGCTAGCACAGTGGCTAACTACAGCTTTGTTGTGCCCTTAAAAATAACATATTTCGTCGGTGTATGTAGCAACTTTCGTTTTCGAGTCGGTTACCATACTTAATCAGACGTGTTCACTTGTTTATTACGACTTAATTTTGTTTACGAGACAAACGGTACCCTCAAACTTCCTCGCTGTTAACTCTGCTGCTAATTTTATGACAGTTCCTAAACTTGTGTTGATTGTGAAAACACGGCGCTTGTGTTTAAAAGTGCTTTACAGACCAAACTAACGTGTTGATTGTTAATCTTTCTGAGTGAGAAAAATGTTTCAATATAAAGTAAGAGCGCGTGTATTATTTGGCATTAGAGTGGCAACAACTTTTTTCATGTTTGACAGCTATTGTCAGGCACTATTCAAGCTCATCAGCAAGCCTGAAATGAAAAATGACCCATTGTACATATTTGTATTGTGTCAATTGCTGATTAATTGGCAATCTGTTTACAATCTTGGTTGTAATCTCGTTACAAAGGCTGTAAGTGCAAAGATGGTTGCATAGCTTCTGTAATGGAGCCTTTGAGTTTCATGGAAACTGTTGCTGTTAGACTGAAACTTGTTTTAACCCTTTAAAGGACAGGAGCATAATACCCCAGAAAAATATAATTTGTTATATTCCAACACAAATCAAAATACTGCAGTGTTATATTTTTATTAAAATGATTGCTTTTATCCAAAATGTTCTTGTCCCATAATAAAAACATTTAAATGATAAACATTTATTTAGAGGTCAGTGGTCTTCTGCGCATTCAGTGCTTTAGTCCACTATGCCACGCTGTCATGTTTGCTTGTACATAACGATTCTAGGATGATGTCAGTTTTTTTTACAAAGTCTCTTGATGTAGGAATTTGCTGGGACCCCCTTTTAATATTTTTCTTAAAAATTGGGCCCACTCACCATCTCAGAAACCATTTAAAGTGGTCCAATTATGCTTTTTCACTTTTTCAACCTCAGTTAGTCTGTAATGAGCATAAACCAATTTGCTGTTTGAGCATAAAAAAGATCCGCAAAGTTACAAAGCTCAAAGTCCAAGTCAAAAGGAGATATTTTATTTAACAGAAATCACTTTTCAAAAACTACAACGAACGATTCGTTTGGACTATAACGCATATTTTCCGGGATTTGTGATATCACAAATATCGACGAATGGGATGAGACCTGGTTGAGGAGGCAACGAGTGTTATCACTATGTCGGAGACACGCTAGCTTTCCCAAGGCAGACCAACTTAGAGTGGTTACTTTCCCAAGGCAGACGAAATTAGAGTGGTTACAATCATCCGGGTTTAAATCGTGCTCAAATTGATTTGATTTTGACAATATTTACGCTGAAGCTCGCAGGCGGCTATGGTAAGGGGCATGACATTTCCCGACCAGGTGCCGAGTGCTGCCAATCACAACACACACTGGCCCAGCTAACCAATCACAACACATTTCGTATTTCAGAAGGCTGGCCTTCATTTGATACAGGAACTATTCCAGCCGTTCATGCCAGACTGGGGAGAGAGGTGTTGTAATAATGTGAAATATGTGAAAAATAATGTGTTTATTTAATGTGTTAACAGTTACTGAAAGTTTTAATTCACAAATATGAGTTTGCACAAACGTTTGGGTGTTGCCTAATAAGTGGGTACGTCCCTGAAACTGTAATTTACACACTCTTCGTGAATCTATGCTATATGGTGTATTTGACACACAGTGTATTCTATTGGATGTTAAGGGGTTTAGCCACTTAATAGAGACTACAAACAATATCTGGAGAAGCAATAGAAATATATATAAAATAAATAAACAATACCATCTATTCTAGACATCCATCACTCATCATGACTTGCCAAAGTAAATAAATAAATAATTTCCTGTTTTTGCAAAGCAAGTTTAAAAACAATGTAGCAAGGTGAAGAAATGTAGCTTATTGGCTCCAAAATCAGTCTGCTATCTCCAATAGTATGACCTTTTAACAGACTACTTGCCAAGTGTAGCCATGGGTGGACTGACGAAGTGTGAGGAATTTAGCTTCATGCTGGTAAAGCAATGAGCCTGTTCTTAAATGGTGTGAAAGTCCTGAAATGCCACAGGAAGACTTCAGTATTACCGTATTTAGTGTAGTAGATGGTATTATCACTCAGCCACAGGTATGCAACTGTTGAAAGAATTGCAGTAATACCTTAAATAAAAATCAAAGCAGCCTGCATTATCCTCAAGCTGTGAAACCAGGTAATGTGGTTGACCTGTCTGGTGTGTTTTTGAAGGATTGGACACTCTTGTTTATCCCATTACTCAGACAAAAGGAAATGATTGCACCCTGCAAGCTTAAGCAAATGGATGTCCTGACCTCTTTTATCACCTCAAGCTATGCCATAGTTTTTTGTCTGTTAGTTTGTAGGGTTTTGTACACCTTTTTGATCTTTACGATCCTGTCATTGTCTATAAGTGATTTAGTCTTAAATGAAGAAACGAGGATGTAGGGAGTTTTTTTTTTTTGGTTGACTTTTTAAAATTGTATTTATTTATTTTCACTCATTTCAGTTTACTTATGTTTTACACTTCCATTGAGCAGGACAATACTCAGGTATTTTTTCCCCCTGTAAGCTGTAAACTGAGACACTACACATTTTCTAAATCAAACGGCAGTATTCTCTATTAAAACCACAACAAGTGTTTTTTAGGAGTAGGAAAGACTGAGGACTCCATAGGGTGTTTTTATTTGATCCACCCTCTATTCTCAGCGAGTCTGTCCTTCACCCCACCCATATACTGAGATCTCGTGTGTCTTGTATAACCACTTTTTGTCACTCTGGTTATGTCCCTCTAGTGCTAAACTGGTATAATATAATAAGAGCTTTCGGTGCTGCTTATTTCCGTCCAGTATTCAAATGAAGATGGGTTCTGAGAATTATGATTGTTTTAGACATTATTTGAATGACTTTTCTAGCTTTCCTTTTTTAATATGAAATAAAAATAGACATTTTACTGACACCAGTGATGCACCCTTAGGGGATTTTTAAAATGGTTACTTATCAGATAGCATGATAAACAAATAGATGCTTTATATATATAGTTTAAGTAGGAAGGGATTTTCAGTGTGTTTATAATCACTGTTAATAAATAACCCATATAGCATAGTCAGATTCTGTTCAGATTCTCTCATCATTCTCACACCTTCATGATGTTCAAAACCCATATGATTTTCTGCATTGAAACACCAAAGAAATCATTTGCATAATGTCCATGTTCTCATGTGTTTTGCAGCCAAAATGTGATGCACAAGGTTTAAATGAACACAAGTGTGATTGAGACTTAGTTATGAAAACAGACCAAAATTTGTATGACCGAAATGTATCTAATTTCATATGGCTTCAGATAATTTGGAATGTAGCACATAAGTCATATGGAATAAATGTTTGGTTATTATTATGCTTTTTTTGGTCTTTTTGGAGCTTAACAGCCCCTGCTCACTGTATGCTTTTGTTGTATGGAAAAGCACCAGATCACTGTCAGAAATAATGTGCAAAAATTGGGGCCTATAATGGGCAACTTTGTACATCATCGCTACCCCTATAAGGTGCATATTAGTACCTTAGAGTAGTTATAAGGTATAAAAGTAGTAAATAAGGTATAAAAATATACTTTTGAGGGTACTGCCCCAGTGACAAGCTGTTTTATCTCTAAAGGTAGTTTTTTTTGCGATTTTTATAGGATGTTGGATATTCTGCCTAACATCTCCTTTTGTGTTTAACATAGAGGATTTTTTTTCTTTCAGTTTTACAGCCAAACAAACTTCCTTTCAACATAGACTCTTTAATCCATTCATTAATATGTCACACAGTGCTTACGTCTACAGTGCTTATAACAAGTATCACCACATGAACTTTACATTTACTACTGTCTGCTTCGTTTCTCAATCCAATTCATTTTACAAACAAATGATATGAATTTTGTTTTAATTTGGTTTTCTGCCACTCAGTAATTCATATATTTTATCTTTCATATATTTTGTCTTTGCTGAAAGGCTCTTTTTCCTGCCGATATATTTTTTAGCACATAATCAGTCTAAATAAGGGATGTTTGACTTTACTGAAAGGAGGTTGTATTTTAATCTCATTCTTACAGAACCAATGTTGTGATGAACTATACAGAAATTGAGTCTAAAGTTCGAGAAGCCACCAACGATGACCCATGGGGACCGTCTGGACAGTTAATGGGCGAGATCGCCAGGCAAGTGGAGGGGTTTTGATGTTTGATTTGTGACTCTTTTTCCTCTGAACTTTAACTTTGTCAACAGTTACACTTTCTTCCAATATGAAGAGTCTTCTAAGATACACTTTTGTTATTTCTGTTTCATTTCAGGGTCACATTCACATATGAGAATTTTCCAGAGGTAATGAACATGCTGTGGACTAGAATGCTGAAAGACAACAAGAAAAACTGGAGAAGAGTTTACAAGGTATGCTTTAGTGAGGACGGTATATGACTGAAAAGGTTTTGTTTTGCTGCCATCTGTCATGAACTTGACTGTCCTCTCTACCTCAGTCTTTACTGCTGCTGGCGTACCTGATCAGAAATGGTTCTGAGCGGGTTGTCACTAGTACAAGAGAGCACCTGTATGACTTGCGTTCAATTGAGAGCTATCATTATGTAGGTGAGTGAAATGCACAAATTGCTTTAGTGAGGACGGTATATGACTGAAAAGGTTTTGTTTTGCTGTCATCTGTCATGAACTTGACTGTCCTCTCTACCTCAGTCTTTACTGCTGCTGGCGTACCTGATCAGAAATGGTTCTGAGCGGGTTGTCACTAGTGCAAGAGAGCACCTGTATGACTTGCGTTCAATTGAGAGCTATCATTATGTAGGTGAGTGAAATGCACAAAAGCAAAAGCTTATATAATTATTCATCTGTCATGTACACTGTTTGATGTCTCTCAGATGCTAGTCAGTGATGGATGAATGGGCTTTGTGTTTCAGATGAGAATGGCAAGGACCAGGGTGTCAATGTGCGCCAGAAAGTGAAGGAGCTGTTAGAATTTGTCCAGGATGATGACAGATTGAGAGAGGAGAGGAAAAAGGCTAAGAAAAACAGGGACAAATATATAGGCGTGTCCTCTGACAGTATGTCAGGCTTCAGATACTGTAAGTCCCTAACTATCTCTCTTTCTCACTTGCACGCACACACACACACCATTCTCACTGTCATATTTATCAAGGTTTGCAAGGTTTTTTTTTTTACATCACGCAGAAAACACATTTACCACAAGGAATATTTCTAATCGGGACTCTCTGAAAACAAGGAGGTCCTCTGTCTCCTCTCCACTGTTGTTGTCCCTGGAGGGTTTGCATTGCCAGATGAGTGAACTGTACTGTAGATTTATTTTGATACCCGGCATAGCTGCATTTTCACATGACAGCATAAATTATGTTTTCGATGTCCTTGATTGGGAAGGAAAAACGCAATGCATTTTTTTTAATGACTGTTTCGGATTTAACATGTTTAGTTTGACAGTCGTTTAGCTCTAAAGTGTAATGAAACTTGATATATATGTCTTTTATTGTGTTTTTGAGATGGTGGCTTGCACATTTATTCAGTAATTTAACCACAGTCCAATCACAGTTCTTAGTTATGGAATATACCTGAGAGGAAGCATCATAGCCTGATTTCACTTCTCTTTACATTGTCATCAAATTAGTGGGTGAATCTCACACTGGGTCATATTTCACCCCACACCCAGAAAAAAAGAAAGTATATTTTGCATAACAGCATTCGGTTTTTGAATTATTTTCTTGACAATTAAGCACACCCTTATAAAAAGTATAATCAACAAAAAAGAAACTGGTATATTAATTAAATTAACAATTTAATATGACTGCATGGTAATATTTATTGTACTGCCTTTCATGTATGCTAATTAAGTAATCCAATTCTAATGAGAACCACTAAACATAACCATTAAGAATAATGAAAATTACTAACAACCTCTGAAGTAAAACATCCAACTGCATGACCGTAATAAAAATAGGTCTGAAAATGTGTTTAATTTATCAGTGAGCTTCATTTTCTTTTTGCAAAATGTATTTTTTTCCTCTGATTTTAATTACCCAGACATGTTTTTGTGGGATTCACTTTTTTATTCCTTATATTTCCATATATAGGTTCTAAATGAAGTTTGACTGTATAATATGTGTATATAGTATAACACATTTCCTGTCCTGTTTATGCATTCTGCAGCGGAGGACCGGTTTGATTTGAGAGATTCATGCTCAAAATGGGATGAAGACTGGGGCAAGGGGGCTTTCCCCTTCAGTGAGAAACTGGGAGAGATCAGCGATAAGATCGGAAGCACCATTGATGACACCATTAACATGTTCCGCAGAAAAGACCGGGATGACTCGCCTGACAGATTCAGGTCAGGACCCCCAGGCTGTCTCACTTTCCCTTCTCAGATCACCTGAAAACTCCTGTTCTGCCAAGTCTTCTTTTGTTTTTTTGAAACACAAATAGCATAAATGTTGTAACTAATTATATGAACAGATTGTTGACAGTTATGTCATGGACTGATTGTGTTTTGTCTACTTATTCTCAAAGCAAGGAAGCATTTTGTTAGTGATCTTGCACAAGCTTATGCTTTATTTTCTCTGTATAGTGAAGGAGATGAGGACCATCGGGGAACGCGAAATGGGCAGTCAGGGAAATCAGAATTTAAAGATGACGCAGAGACAGTGACAACCAAAAGCGTCCAGATTGTCCAGGCCACAGAGACCACTGCCACTCGTAAGAGAGGAGGCATTCCCTCCAAAACGATAGACCTGGGAGCAGCTGCAAATTACGCTGGCGATAAACCCTCCACCAACACAAACACAAGCCAGGTAGATGCGAGAAACACTAGCTACCAGCACTAGTCTTTTCCTGTTTAATTAAACATCTCTGGTATTTGGACACATAGATGATGCAACTTTTAGGAGAGATTTGTTAATTAATAGTGTGAAGTGAAATGTTAAACTTGTATTCAAAATAACGTAGACTCTACACTGACATCTTGTGGTAGCTGTTAAGAGTGTTTTCAGTTTGTTCGTCCTTTGTTGCCATATAGACCACATCAGCAGTGAGCCAGCCCAGTTCTGGTCTGGTGGACTTGTTCTCAGCAGATCCTGCACCTGCTCAACCAGATTCCCAAGGTAACAGTAGTAACATGCATCCTCTTTGAGTTACTCTAAGTTAAGAATATCATGGTGGTTCTATAGTTTTTGCAGAGGAAAATATTTAAGATATTATAGAATGTCTTTTTAAAAATATTTAAATATAAAATATTTATTTGATTTGTGGTTCAGCACTACCTTTACAACTGAACATGCAAGAACAGTTCACTTTAGAATGTTTAGGAGAAGTAATATTGAAGGGTTCATCCTTAAAGGGGTCATATGATGCGATTAAAATTTTTCCAAACTCTTTGGCGTGTTGCAAGCTCTTGGTGCATAAAGAAGATCTGTAAAGTTGCAAAGACTAAAGTCTCAAATCCAAAGAGATATTCTTTATAAAAGTTAAGAGTCAACCACGCCTACCTGAAACAGCTCGTTCTAACATGCCCCCACATATCTACATCACTATGTGGGAAGATTTGTATAACACCGCCCAAATGTTCATGCAAAGAAAGAAGGCGTAACTTTGATTCTCACTGTAGTATTGTTGTTGCCGTGTGTTTCATTGTGAAAGCGAAACTACTTTGTTTGGCCTTCCAAAAGAGGACGATATCCGCTTCGTCATGCCTAGAGCTGATCCGTGCTGGTCGCTGAGAAAATACATCCACTTCGCGCTGTGAATCGCCGGATTGGCTTTCACCGTGGACGAAGCGGAGTCCAGCCCGGGGTCGTCACATGTGGTTGCCGCAAGCCTGCCGGCCTCCGCTCATTCTAGCCACCGGCCTCCGTCCACTCAAGCCGCTGGCTATTTTGGAAGGACATGACTAGAATTCAGTGGTTAAGTTGTATTTACAACACTGTTTCAGAACAGTTCAACCCAAATATTCAGATGTGTGCAGCGCATTTTATGGAGGACTGTTTCCTGATCCTTGAAGAGTAGACAACAATGCTGGCTGTTCTGACTCACAGACTGTAAGTGCATTTTTTTATATTTAAAGGATTTGCCATTGATGATTCAAACGCGAGTTTTGAGCAGTGTAGAGTAGTGCTTGTTGTTTGTCATTTCTCCGATCACAAATGCAGACATGGTTTTATGTTTACGCGGCACGATGCAATGCAGCGCGTAAAAAACCAGTATAAGTCATTATAATCCATAATTATGTCCCCAATGGATGCAGAAAATGCCTCGTTTGTAATGGGTTTTATTGGTTTTGTCTTGTATGCCGGGAGACGGCATCACAGTATGGTAAGGGGCGTAACATTTTCGTTACACGCTTAAGGTATCCGGCCAATCACAACACACTGGATCGCTGGCCAATTAGAGCACACCTCGCTTTTCAGACCGATGAGCTTTGTAAAAAGCATAGAGGAGAGGAGCATAGAGGAGAAACAATAATGTCCAGTATGTGGAAAATAATGTGTTTTTTTAACCTTAAAACACATTTCATTACACAAAATACTCAAAATAATGTTATTTTCAGCAACATCATATGACCCCTTTAAAGGAAGTAGGGTTGCACTGACTAGTCGATCAATTCTGCCACTTGTCACAACCGTAAAAATAAATCCCAAAAGTGCTTTATGCTCACAAAACAGATTATGAGGTTTTTCAAACCACCCTAAAGGTAATCAAGTATCGCATAGAGGGCTGACAGAAACCAAAATGGAGTGGGACATTCATAGCAAGCAGCATGAATCATGCAGTGGACTGTCAATACAGCATTGAACTTGTCATAAATAGAACACTGATGCATATTAGGAGTCATTTACATTAAGGTAAACATTTCTGTCAAATACTAATAATGAGTAGTTGTGCAAGGTGTAGTTGGATATACATGAGGAATGAGGAAATGGGTGAAAGTAGCAGGAAGCACTATGCCATTAGTTTGACGGTGTGGACGTATCCTGAAAGGGAGGGGCGCACAGTGAAGTTTAGCATATGCACTCTCCTGCGCTCCTGCTGGAGCATTTAGTCACCGGGGCCAGATGTCAAAGTGGTCTCTGGTGGGTGTGTGGTGCTGAGCAGATGCGTAGATCCCTCTCCTCACTGTCCTGCTCCCTCCTCCGCCAGCCAAACAGCTGCATCTGTCCTCCACATAACTCCAGCCACAGGCTGCTGGAATGTAACGTGACCGGAGTGTGTGTTTTTGTGTGTGTGTGTGCCCCTTACAGACTCCAACAGATGTTTCTTATTTCTGTGCTCACCATTTTTGTCTTTTCCTTAGGACATTAGTAGGGGATTGATATGTTTTACCAATCTAGAATGTCATAATTGAATCTCTCTCTTTCATTCTAGTTTCAAGCTCTGACCTGATTGGAGGTTTTGCTGATTTCTCTTCTCCTGCAGCTGCAGTCAGTCTTCCATCATCAGCTGGTATGTTTATGTAAGCTCTTAACAAACCATCAGTTAAAAAAATACAACCTGAAACTCTTGATTATTTTTACTTCGACTTACTACAACATATACTTCTGTTCAAAAGTTTGGGATGAGTAAAATAAAATTAAAATAAATGTTTACTTTTATTTAGCAAAGACACATTAAAATGTATCAAAAGTTCCAGTAAAGACTTTTACATTGTTACAAAAGATTTGTATTTCAAATAAATGTTGTTCTTTTGAATTTTTTATATTCATCAAAGAAACCTGAAAAAAAACAATACATCATGGTTTCCACAAAATTATTAAGCAGCACTACTGTTTTCAACATTCATAATAAGAAATGTATTTTGAGCACCAAATCAGCACATTAAAATTAAGACTGGAGACACTAAAGAATGGAGTAATTGCTGCTGAAAATTCAACTTTGCAGGAATAAATTACAGTAGGAATAAGTTAGATTTTAAAATATATTAGATATCATATAAATAATAGAAAAGTTATTTAAAATTTGAAATAAGTAAACTTCCGTTTGTATAAAAATAATAAAACTTCACAATGTGTATTTTTGATCAAATGAATGCAGGATTGGTGAGAAAAACGGACTTACCTACCCTAAACTTTTGAACAATAGTGTGTTTTCAAAAGTGACTAGTAAGTGTGTTTTCTGAATGACGCATCAGTTAATTGGTTTTAAGAAAACCCTGTATAAGTGAGACCTGTTTAAATGAGACAATGAGACTACATTCAGAAACAGCTGAATGTAGTGCAACTGAATGGAACAGAGCATTGGGGTCTCATGACACACTTTTAAACTTAAAGGGGTCATATGATGTTGCTAAAAAGAACATTATTTTGTGTATTTGGTGTAATGAAATGTTTATGCGGTTTAAGGTTAAAAAAACACATTATTTTCCACATACTGTACATTATTGTTTCTCCGCTATGCCCCGCCTTTCTGAAACGCATCGATTTTTACAAAGCTCATCGGTTTGAAAAGCGAGGTGGGCTCTGATTGGCCAGATATCCAGTGCGTTGTGATTGGCCGAATACCTCAAGCATGTGACGGAAATGTTACACCCCTTGCCATATTGTGATGCCTTGTCCCAGCTGGAGCGATGTCCCAGTGGGGACATAATTACGGATTATAATGACTTGTACTGTCTTTTTACGCGTTGCATTGCATCGCGCCGCGTAAACATAAAACCATGTCTGCATTTGTGATCGGAGAAATGACAAGCAACAAGTGCTACTCTACACTGCCCAAAAAACTCGCGTTTGAATCGTCAGTGGCAAATTCTTTAAATATAAAAAATTTACTTACAGTCTGTGAGTCAGAACAGCCGTCATTGTAGTCTACTCTACCAGGATCAGGAAACAGTCCTCCATAAAATGAGCTGGACACATCGGAATATTTGGGTTGAACTGTTCTGGAACAGTGTTGTAAATACAACTTAACCACTGATTTCTAGTCGTGTCCTCTTTTAGAAGGCCAAACAAAGTATTTCGCTTTCACAATGAAACACAGCGTCACACACGATGGGCTTGAGTGAGCGGTGGCCGGTGGGCTTGAGAAAGGCGTGGCGGGCGGGCGGGCTTGCGGCAACCACATGTGACGACCCCGTGCTGGACTCCGCTTCATCCACGGTGAAAGCCGATCCGGTGATCCACAGCGCGAAGTTGATGTTTTTCCTCAGCGACCAGCACAGATCAGCTCCAGGCATGACGAAGCGGATATCGTCCTCTTTTGGAAGGCCAAACAAAGTAGTTTCGCTTTCACAATGAAACCTTCACGACATGGTGGCGGTGGCAACAACAATACTACAAAGAGAATAAAAGTTACACCTTTCTTTCTTTGCGTGAACATTTGGGCGGCATTATGCAAATCTTTCCACATCGTGACGTAGACATGTGGGGGCGTGTTAAAACGAGCCATTTTAGGTAGGCATGGTTGACTCTTAACTTTTTATAAAGAATATCTCTTTGGATTTGAGACTTTAGTCTTTGCAACTTTACAGATCTTCTTTATGCACCAAGAGCTTGTAACACTCCAAAGAGAAAGGAAACATTCAAATCGCATCATATGACCCCTTTAAGAGAAAAAAAAGCGATGTCCAAAGATGTCTGTCTGAATGTAGCAGCATGGGAAGAATTTAAACACACAACTCTGAGAAGGTTTTACTGTGCAATCTGTCTAACAGTTAGAACCGAATGCTGTTAGTACAATATTTAAAGCTCCACCACTAATAATATCAGAACTAGTAACCAGAAAATGTAGATGCATTTGTTGAAGTTAGTAATCGATTAGTCGACCATCACTACCCTATTATTATCCCTAATATACTGTAACTAGGGATGCACGATATTGGATTTTTACCAATATCCGATTTTCCGATTTTTTTTCAACTCATTTTGGCCGATGCCGATATATATTTCCTTTTGTTTGGAAACAACACCAAGTCTCTCCTGTGCAGAAATAAGCAAATTATTTTTCATTTTGGTTAGTTTTTAACAAGAACTTATTTGTTAGAATTAAATAAACAATAACAAAGTTATTTTATAATGACAATACAATGAAGATTTGAAAATAAATAAAATAAATTCAATCGCTTAACAAATGTTAAGATTTAACATTTATAAATGGTCTAAAGCTAAAATGAGTTGTAAAAATTGTGAAAATCTTTTAGAGCTCATAATTTGTTTAAAATCTACCATATTACACCTAAATGAATAAATAAGTATATATACAGTTATTTAAAGAGTCATGGTTTTTTTGTTTGTTTGTTTTTTTTTTATGTAAGCTATAGCTTCTGACCTTTAAATCAAAAGATAGGCTACTCATGATTTTATGGGATCAATTACTGCTTTATTTAATCAGAAACAGTCTAAATATTATGTGTGTATTTTGCTTTCATTTTATTAGAAGTAGGCCAACAGTGCCCCCTACGGAATTAAAACTCCTTACCGTTACTTACACTGTTCACTCTATCACACACCGAAAGTGTCATTCTGTACGTGCATTCTCAGTTTAAATGCAGCGATCCAAAACAGTGAATCTAATCATCATTCAGGCAAAAGTTCGCTTCAAGAATGAGCCAACACTGCTGACGTGATCTAATCGCTAGCATACCCTGAGCACACGTGAGTTAACGTATTCCTCTTATCAGCAAGATATATCGGCATAATTTTTCATATCGGGCCGATGCCGATATTAATATTAATATTTATATATATATTTTTTTTTTATATTTATATCGTGCATCCCTAACTGTAACTTATGTTCTTTAAAAGATATTCAACTCTAAAAGTGCTAAAAGTCTCTGTATTTTCTTCTAATTAAACTCACATGTTAAAATAAAAGCCTTAAGGGAGTGCAACTTGAAAGACACAAAGTGGTGATATGTGTGTGTTTTCATATGGTTATTTAAATATAGTTTTGGAAATATAACAGAAGGCTGTTTGTTTTTTCTGCTGGACCTGAGTTTGCCATCCTTAGCTGCCTGTTTATGAAATACTCCAAGCAGAAAGCTCTTAAATAGTGAGAAGAGGGGGCAGCCATATGGTGGCCTGCTGTGCTAAAAGCTAATGAGCACAGACACATTTCAGCTCTTGTTGGGTGTGACACGTCACCCTCTGCATTTATGGGACTGAGCTGAAGTGACGGAGAGTCTGAGATTCTTTTTGATGTTTATGCATCTTCAGTGCCCTGATAGTTTCATTACTGGTTCTCTTGCATTACTCTAGATTTTTATATTGCTCATTTGCATGCAAATACACATCCTCTGCTAGATGATAAAGCCTGACATGAAGCAAGATTCTGGAATTTGTGCAGTAAAAGCACAAATATGCCTTTTGAACAAAACGCTTCATAACTATTACGGTGTTCCCTGTGCTCTCTATAATGTTTGTGCTTTTGTCTTTCCTCAGCCCCAGCATCTAGTGGGAATGGAGACTTTGGTGATTGGAACACTTTTTCTGCAACCCAGCCAGCCGTCCCTGCAGCTCAGCCTGTTAACCCTGCAGGAATAGACCTTTTCTCAGGTCTGCAGGTGGCCCCTGCTCCTGCTCCTGCTCCTGCTCCTGCATCCTCATCCGACCTCTTTAACCTAATGGGCTCATCTCAGACCACTAACTTCAGCACCTCCCAAAGCATGAACTTCTCCATGACCTCCTCTCAGACCATTGGCATGCCATCATCCAAATCACAGGTGCCTGCTACCTTTGCGACTTTTCCTCAATGTATCTACTATGTATTTATGATACCTATGATAATATATTGTCATGTTGTCATGATCGAGACCCCATGAAATGCTTTGAAGAGCACAGTTTTCTTTCCCATTTTGATTTCCTATTGAAACATATTTATTTTTTTATAGCCAGTAGCTTTCAGTTTACATTATCAAAACTATGATTTGCTGCTTGCTATTGGGTTGCAGGTGGTATGTGCTCACCCTTAGAGAATTTTATTGGATGAATGAAAATTATATTTTGCCCTTGCATTACAGTCATCAGTATTTTTGGTTCATTTTCTACCATTTCAAAAAAACAAACAAAAAAAACTTGTACACTACTGTGTACTAATGGTAGTGTAGATTTTAAATGTGTACACCTACTGGAAGTTTATTTAGTCATCTTTTAGGAGTACAAAAATGGCAGCAATCCCAACAAATAATACCCACAGAAATGACAAATAAAAGCACAAAAACTTTTGATTATGCCATTGTATATACCTAGTTTTAGCATAACTTGCAAACGAGTGTCTATATGTATTTTATTAGGTAGTGCACCTACAATAGACTTTTGTGCATTGCCGTCCCTCAACATTATGTTTACAGCACAATAAAGAATAAAGATGAAACCAAGTGATGTAGAGTTGCACATAGATAATGTGGTTTTCATTCAGATCCCCCATCTGTGGAGTACTTAATGCAGCTCATCTAAGTGGAACTGCACACTAAACACTATTTACGCAAGAAAAGACAATTCTGGCAGAGGTTCAGAGCCAGCGGTTTAGAGAGCAGGCAACATGAAAGCGAAACGAGCGAGGGTTAACACGCAGCATCGGCACAATTTTCCGCCCACCCCCTCCTCATTACCCATCAACCCCAGTCCCCTTGGGACACCCATCACAGAGAATGGCAGAATGAGGAGGAACAAGTTTAAGTCAGAAAACCATTAAATTGAAACAAAAGCCTTGCACAAAGATAATATTTGCATGCTAAAAGCCTGACCTACTTTAAAATGGCAAGTTTTGTTTGGCTAAAGACAAAAAGCAGCCCCCCGATGGTATAATTAGAGGGACTTGAGATGCATTTTAACATGCTGAAATAATTTTAGAAGACAATGCCTCTCAACCAACATTTCTGTCTTGTTTAACTCAAGTCTTGATAACCCTGAAAGACCACAGTGTAGTGTTCTGGAGTATTTTGCCTGCAGTATTCTGCCTTTCATCTTCTCTGACTTGTGTCATTCTGCCATTGGCAAACATTCATTGCCATCTGAGAATTTTAATTATCATGCTTGAACTGCAGCAGAGCAGTTTCATCTTAACAAAATCAGCGAAAACATTGTTTTTGATCATATGAGTGCTATCATATATGGTTTGTTCTAAAACCGATTAGATTTTCTTTGTCTTTGTCTTTGCAGCCACTTCAGTCAATGGGGAGTTCACTGATGCCCCAGCAACCGATGGCCCAGAAGCCCAATCCCAAAGCCTCTTTGCCGTCCACCTGGTCCAACTCTAATGTAGACATAAGCCTGGACTACCTTAGTCCTGGCATGCAGCCACCCAAACCTTCTCAGCCCACACTCAGCATGATGCAGCAAGGTAAGCAAAGATACTGATGTAGAGTGTCTGGGACAGGATTTAACCTGGGTCCAGAAAATTAAATGAGCGCAAAAGAATTCAAACAATTGGTCTATATGAGGAGCGGTAAAAATTAGTAACTAACTATACTAACAAAAAATACGACAGATGAAAATATAAATGTATAGCAGTGTTTCCCATGCATTGATTTATTTGTGGTGGCCCGCCACAGTATCAACACTGACTGCCACAAATAGATTTTCCAAAAGGCTTTGACTACGTTGAATAAACATGATCACTGCACGTTTCAATGTCAAAACGCGGCACATGTGTTTTTATATGAATGTGTCTTTGAAGGGAACTGACTAGCCATTTCTCAGTGTGCGTTCTTGTCTGTACTTGTGTTCTTGTGGACTTGTGAAACGTCATCAGTCGTCGCCCAAGTACTGTTCCAGTTCAAAGTTCATATCTAGCCAAGTACAGTTCAAATCCCCGGATGTGTTTTTGCTCCGCCCCTTTTATCAAGGATGCATCCAGAGGTGACTTGTGCGAACTTGAGGCAGCCAGGTATCCCAGAATGCATTTCGCACCAACCAGCAAGCGTTAATGACGGAGGAGAAAACCCGCATCATTTTCAAAATATTACTGTTATTGTGTCATGAAATGCAGTTCTAAGAGTATTTCAGGCGAGAATGTAGTTGTTTAAAACTCTAATCTGCAGTCTATTTATAAAGATAGCGCCTATTTGAAAATTAGCTTAGCCGATTTTAAGACATGAGCTCCACGCGATCAGCGGGTGCTCAGTGCTCATGTATCCGCCGACAGCAGTCTCACCTCGGCTAGTCCTTCTGACATTTGCCGTTTGCCTCTGATGTCTCTGTTAGTGGTTAAACATGAGGTAAAATTAATTTTGGCAAAAATTTTGGTAAATCTAACAGGCAATCTTTGGTCTCATGAATCTATTATTTCTTCCAGGTCATATAGTTTTGGCTGAGCACAAAGTTATGTTTAATAAATTACTTATTTATTCATCGTAATACAACGCTGACTTTGTTGCATACATTTGACCGAATTGTTTGCTTTTGTCTTTATTTCCTATTACATAAGTCTCTTATACTTTATACTTCTATACTTTATATATATTCTTTTATAAGGGCTATTATTGTTCATTAAAACTGACATTTAACAAAAAAGACAGAGTTGTGCTTGCATTTTAAAGAAAACCACAAGGCAGTGGTGTTTGATATCATTTTGTTTTATTGTAATGCGTGTATGCGTTGCATGAACCACATTTTTGTGAGCCTATTAATATTTTAAATGAAACAGAAAAGAGGCAATGCTGTTTGATATAATATTTCGTCGTATTGTATACATACAGTGAAGATAACCGGAGTACCCAAGGCGAGCTGACTGAGGTTATCAAGTACTCTGCTGTTCCATTTGCAGAATTACCGGACTTCGGACTCCCGAGTCGAACTTGCGAAGTCCGAACTACCAAGGACGCAAGTCCGAACTTTGCGTACTTGGTATTGAAAAACGGCTACTGTCTTTAGAAAAGGTTTAATGTAATTTTAATTTAATCTTTCCTATACTGCCTGATAAAGCAGCGTTTATGAGCGCAGCACTGCTTTGTTTACAGTCGTTACCAGGGAAACCGCTATTTCTGCCGCTCCTAAAGCGCCTCCTGCTGGCAGAGAATGAATTTGCATTTTCAATCAATTAGCCTGTCTGCTGTTATATTTCCCCCCGGGGGATGTGCAGTCGAACTTGCGAAGTCCGAACTACCAAGGACGCAAGTCCGAACTTTGCGTACTTGGTATTGAAAAACGGCTACTGTCTTTAGAAAAGGTTTAATGTAATTTTAATTTAATCTTTCCTATACTGCCTGATAAAGCAGCGTTTATGAGCGCAGCACTGATTTGTTTACAGTCGTTACCAGGGAAACCGCTATTTCTGCCGCTCCTAAAGCACCTCCTGCTGGCAGAGAATGAATTTGCATTTTCAATCAATTAGCCTGTCTGCTGTTATATTTCCCCCCGGGGGATGTGGCGCCACATATTGGGCCTCATTCATAAAACATTCGTAAATATATGAGTATATTCAGAGTTATTTACGCGTAAAACGGACCTTCCTGAAAACTCTCCTCCGGATTCACAAATACTTCGTAAAGGTCAGATTTGATAGTTAAATGTGTGTATGTTAATGAATTCCAATCATTCGTAAATATTCGCTCTCATTCCCAATTAGCATATTCCCCGCCTATGAATTACAGCTATGCAAATTACATATCTAGGAATGGTGTGGAATCCTTTGGACTCAGTTCTCAAGTTTGGCAAGTCATATTGAATAAATGCATAAGAGACTTGCATAACAATAAATGAATAAATTAACGTAAATTAAGTGTTTTTGTATTCCCCGCCTATGAATTACAGCTATGCAAATTACATATCTAGGAATGGTGTGGAATCCTTTGGACTCAGTTCTCAGGTTTGGCAAGTCATATTGCATAAATGCATAAGAGACTAATAGGCTATATGCCTAACAATAAATGAATAAATTAACGTAAATTAAGTGTTTTTGGCCAGCTGACATAATGCCTTCTGAAAACGACCAGCTGGTGGTGCTTGAGAGAGCTTTGGAGGCACTGCATTTTTCTGGAGTGACGCGTTGTTTACTGTGATTTGGAATATTCAGGGCAGTAACATGTTATGAGTATCTTATTTTGAAGAATATTACTGAATATAAAAATGCAGTAACCAGCCATATTAACGTCTCCATTGTTGTGTTGTACAAGTATGATGGTTGGTCAATGTAGTGTTTGTACTGCCCCTCCTCCACTGTGATTGGATGGCTGTGTAAAAGGGACAGTGACTAGCTCTGCGTTTTACCCAAAGTTAAAGAGTAAAAAATGAGTTAAAGAGTTAAATATCATTATAATACATAGTGCATAAAAATGTCATCAGTTTGTCTAAAAGAATACAGAACGTTTGAATGTTTTATGCACCATTTACACATGGTAGGGAGCAGGTGTACATTTCTTTCGTACCAACTAACATTTTCAAAATATGAACATTTTCATGAATCCAAAAATTTACGTCAGAGCGATAGGGTTGGGTACCGAAACCCGGTACCAATATGGCACCGGTATGTACTAGAACCGAATCCGAACGCAGATTTCGGTGCCTCATTTCGGTGCCATGCCTGAGCGATCGATTGAAATATTTGCCCTCTGGTTCTCCGAAACGGACGTAAGAAGCATCATCACTGGCAGCGCACGTGAAAATTAATTTCCCGACTGAGAAAATACACGTGAACTCAAGTCGGAAAGCTCTAATAATACAAATCCAACACATCTTTGTAGTAACGAGAGTGTCCATATTGTTTTTACATTCCGACTTAAAAGCACAACTCGGTACATGAGAGCATCCGAGGAGCGCGTGAATGCAGTAATTATACTTGCTCTGATGGCAGCAGGTAGCCTTCCGTTAACTAAGCTAAACATGCTTAAATTGCCTAAAGCTAAACCTCCCTTATATTCACATTTCTAAACCTGTTGTCCAACAAAAGAGAACATTTTTATAACTTTTTTACACCACAACACCAGTCAAATGCTTCCTTTTGTGATCTGATGAGGCTTCTTGTCACAGAATGAGGCAGAAAATATGTTCCATATGCTGCTTTAAAAAGAATACATCGATTAGCAATAGATTATAAATTAGGATGACCATGCGTCCTTTTACCCGGATATGTCCTCTTTGTCCAAAGATGCGTCCGGCCGGGATTTCTTGATCGACCAAAATGTCCAGGATTCGGCTGTTTTCTTAATCCCACTCCCGCTGAATCTCTGACCATTGCCGCCTGCTCCCCCAACATGTTTCGCTCCAGCGATTTTCGTGTCTACTCATTTAAACATTCTAATATTGTATATCATTTTGCCGCATCAGGGAGCCACTCTCAGGATGCGGTGTATTTAAATATTTTTGAATGAGCGTTTGCGCTGTTTACTTTCACTTTCG